CCCCCCCCCCCCCCTCTCTCCCTCTCCTCTCTTCATCCAATCAACGGGGGAAAACGGCACGAATTAGTAAACTTCACAAAGATCACGCCATCGCCAATGACGTCAACTCACGCTCTGATTCGACAGGCAACAACTTCTTGGGGCGCAGAGCACACGGAGAACCAGCGGACGATGATGGCGTCACCTGGACGACCATCGAGGATTCCAGCAACAGACAATTGCAATTGAAGTTGGCGTCAACATGGACTCTGGCTGGATCGTTTGTTGATACGCTTGGTTCCTCATGCATCACTCTGTTCCGCCATGACATGCAATCAGGAGATCGCATTATTTCGGAACCCCCTGCGCGTCACATATGTGACGAACCACTTCCCAAACCCGTGCTATCTTTCCTACCCCTTTTTGCTTGTATCATACCAACCCCATAAAACCCCCGTTTCGTTTTCTTGATTTTGGGTACCGCATTTTTGGCTCCCATCTTTCGGAAAGCTTTTTCGACTCCCGGGTTCTGCTTTTCCTTTCTGCAATTCGGGAAATACATAGGAAATTACGTGCGCCTTAGCGAGCGCACTGGGAATTGGGCTCGGTAGTTGGGAATTCCGGGATAAGCGGAACCTCGACGTGTCCTTTTCGCGTGTGTGAATGTTCTTGGTCGCGTCGGGGAAAACTCTCGGAATTTTGTGCGAATACGAATAGGCATAGGATTTTCTTTTTCCGCGTCGCTCTTTCGCGCGCGGATATGGTGATTTCAATTTTGAATTAGGCTGTAACTGTTTCGGTGCCTTTTTCTCTCTTTTTGTTGACGGCGCCGCACGTGCAAAGCTTTCTCCTCTTTGTCCCTCGCATCGCTCCCTCCCGCGCTCCTTTCCCCTTCTCCCTCCTCTTTTTCTCGCCCCGTAACTGTTTTCTTTCTCTCTCTCCCTCTCCCACCTTGCTCTCTGCGTGCCCCTTTTCCTTTCTTGATCATCTGAATCTTGGACCCGTCTTGCGCCACTTCTCGCGCCTTTTCTCCCATCATCCTCTGAGTCTGGCGCACGACGCCCTGTCGGTCCATCGATAACTCCCCCTCACCAATCAGGTGCGCGGATCAATAAGACCTTCCTATTGCGCGGCGAATCTAATTGGTTGAACCTTGAGTTTCGAGGGATCAACATGGCGTTCGTAGAGCATTCTTTTCAAAGTCTTCTCCTCCTGGTTCTCCTCTTACACCTCAGCTTTCCCGTCACTTTTTCCCCCTTCTATCTCCCCTGTCGCAACTATAAAACCCGCAAGCGTGTCCGCAAATCTCTCTTACGTTCTTGACTCTCAAGCCAGCATCCGGGAAGAAGTGGCTAGGCAGAGTGTTTGGTGCGAGTCGGAAAGTCCTGTCGGGCTGACGATAGGCTGGCTGGTTGCGCGCTGGATCGCCACGACGGACTGTGGGATCGGGGCGAACCGTGTCGGGTCTACGACAGCGGGGTGACGATCGCAGTGGTGGGAGTTAGCACGCGGCTGCCGGGATCGTCGGAGCGGGTATGAGGATTGATGAGTGGAATTGAGTGAGTGATTGGCCCAGGGCCATACTAGAATTAACTGCGAATGCGCCTTTGTTGTTGCGGATCTTTCTCTCTGACAACGCTGATTTTTCTTTTTTTGGGTTATGTCATCTCCTATCTCGACTCTCCCCCCTCCTTTTTCCCTTCTCCTCTATCTTTGAACAATGATGTGTCTCGATGCTTCTCTCCTTCTGCCTCTCTTCTAGATAAGAGTGAATCTGCATGCTTTCCTTGCGTGAAAAAACTTCTTCCGGAACTCTTTCATTAGTTTCCTGGGTAATCCTCCTGCGCAAGGACCCCGCCTTCTTGTCTTGTGAACGGTGGATGCGTGTGTACTGTGCAAGCAATCCATCTTTTCATGTGCATGGCTCATTTTTCGCATCTTCCAAAGTGAATAAATGTATGGAAATGCGCGTCTCTTTGGCGTTGATTAGACGATTGTCGTCGGGATTTCGTCCGAGAATGCAAGAGTGTTTAGATCTGTGACTCTGAATGCACTACGCATGCCATCTGCCTTATGCTGTCCGACATCAGCAGCCGAACCACGAGGCGGCCTCGAGAAACAAGGCGCCTAGAATCAACGTCGCGCTGGCTCACTAAAACTGAGTCGGGGATCGGTCCCTTAGTTATATGCATGATCAAGCTGCTGAAGTGTCTTCTCTCTCTCTCTCTCTCTCTCTCTCTCTCTCTCTCTCTCTCTCTCTCTCTCTCTCTCTC